GATTGCGTCATAACCACGCGACTCTCTATCACAGTCGAGAGATTACAGTATGGAGAGGAGGAGAAGCTTGCGGGCAATCGGGGAAACTTGGAGGCAAAATGACAAATTAATTAATCAGAATACCTAGCAAAAGTTTCTCCTGCTCCTAGCTCATGGACAGCTCCTACTGACACTCTCCGCCTCTGTAAGTTTCGGAAAGGGAATGATTCAGATTTCTTATGCCACAGCCACTAGAATACAGATGGATTGCTCAAGTCACATCTACGTCGTCAAGCTCTGTTTGAGATGGTTTGAATCTGCACGTCAGGAACGGAATTCCTAAAAAAATACCTAAAAAGCTTCACTTGTCTCAATGGAGTTCCAATGAGATGGCTCTGTCCACTTCTTATACTGTCTATGCAGGTATGTGAGCTGGCTGAATTAACGTCATTTTTTATTAATATCTTTCACATCTACTGCAGTCAGACCGTGGTCATCTGACCAAGTCCAATCTAATTTACCATTAATTGCAACAAATATATCTGCTGCTGTCTGTCCCGCTTAAAATCATTCAAACTGGTTGACAGTGCGGCTCTGGGGTCCGTTTCCCGAAAGCATCGTTAGCCAACTATGGTCACAAGTTGGTCGCAACTTCCATTGAACTCTATTGGTAACGACGGAACTTGCGACCATAGTTGGCGAACGATGCTTTCAGGAAACACACCCCTGTTCGGAACTATTAAGAGCTACACAAACCATGTGACCACGTGGCGGCAAGATCAAAGAGTGTCGCAACTCTCATATTTAATTATGACTCTGGCTTATACCATCAGCAAAGCATGCAAAAGATATCAAAATTTCAACAAAAAAGGGGGAAAAACATTAGTCAACTAATCTGTAATTAAGTCAACAATTGTGACCCTAATATCAAATAGCCTATAAGCACTCCAATACTGTTATCTCAGGCTCTCATGGCTTCAACCTACAGTAACCTTCCGAGGCAACACAGAATTACTTAACTGGATTATAAACAAGCTAAAGAGCCAGACAGTCTGTCTGTTTGGAAAAGTTAACTTAGTTCACTTTGCTGAATCCTCTACTCTTGAATTAAGCTGTGCACAAAAGGTTATTTCCAGCCGGATCAGAGCTCTTTTACATAAGGATCACTGAGTGACCAACAGAAAAGACAAGATCTGAAGACATCCTGGTTTGAAGCACGCTGAGATCAATAAGTCTCGGCCTATAACTGAGGACCATTTAAATGGTTTGTTGTTCACTTCTGCGAACAGAACAGCATCATAAACATTCACACAAGATGAAGTTGACAGGTTGCTAACTCTTAGACTTACAGTGAGGAAAATAACTAGTCAATGAGCATTGGTGTATACTCATCTCTCCCTCTCTGTAATCAGGATCTGTGATTAGCGGCTGTGTAAATACAGTTATGCAAACAATAGAATGTTAGATGCTGAGCAAATTAAGACAATGGCTGCATCCAAATTCACACTTGTACTAAGAACTAACATTACATACTTTGCTGGATACTTTAGAGAATGGGACATTCTACTACATTATAAAATAGCATATTTAAACTATTGATATGCATAGTTTAGCTTAAATTCTTTACAGAGTATTTATTAACTTTTTTAAAAACTTCTGCCTCATGTTTCTTGACACTTTTTATCGACTGAAAAGTCTAAAAATAACAGCAACTAAACAGTTCTTTTATACTCTTTAGGCCAGTATGTGAATTGTGAAATGGTGCATGATATGATTATCCAGGAAGAGCAATTTGATGTTATACGGTATCTGTCAAGAGTATAAACTGAAATTAATCAAAAGTAAAAGTTTAAGAAAATAATCTTAAATCAACATATCAAGTGTTTTTGCTAGAGTAAATTAACATAAGGTTTGGGCTTATTCACAATCTCCAAATACCGGTAATATGTGTCATTATTATTCAGCTGAATGATTCATCCTCATTTCTACATACAGATTCTGAGAATTTTTTTTATTTACTTAAAGGGAGTGTATTGACCTCAAAACTGCCAACAACAACTGATAAATTTATGAGACAAATGAAGAGATCCAACTCCCTATTATTACTCATTACAGTACAAAAGTCAGAAGACTTTTTTTAATGTTTCTGAAAGAAGTCTCACATGAGTGCTTTTATTTGATCATACGTATACAATAAAACAGAATTCTTTTGAAATATTATTACAATTTAAAATAACTTTTATATTTTATTTATTCCTGTGATGACGAAGCTGAATTCCGCATTTTTACTCCAATCTTCAGAGTCACATGATCCTTCAGAAATCATTTTATATGCTGACTTGAAACATTTCTTAAAAAATAATGTTTTTTTTTTAATCATTTCTTAAAAACCTCAAACCTTTGAACGGTAGTGTAGAATAAGTTGCATATAGTGTGTGTGGTTTTTTTGTTTTTTCTTTTGCAAATTTTTAACAGACATGCAAAGCAGCTTTTTAAAATATACATTCTGACTGTAGGACATGCCTGAACCTGTTCTTTCCCCAACACACTAAAACACTGCATGCACACAGCACTCACACACTTCCACACTGGTGGAGGGGGATGCAGCTAGCAGGTGAGGAACTGAAGTATTCAAATAAGGTTTGAGAGTGAGGAAGGAAGGAGATAAGAGAACTCAACACAAATCAAATAAAGAGCCAATATAATGAGCGGCTCAACATCCTGACACGGTTTATCCCTGCACGGCACGCGCACACACAAAAGGACTGCTCCAAAGCTGAGGTCACGGGACTGCTGTGACCTTTACTGCCTTCTTAAAACATCAGAGTCACAACATACACACACACACACTTCCTGCAGTTTCGCCTGTCACTGGCATTTCCTTCAGTCATGACTCACGGCTCGGCAGTCTCCATTATGCAGCATCAACCCGATGATCCCAGAAACTGCAATTATGCCTCTCCTTCTCCTCCTAAGCCTGTCAGAATATCCTTCATCCCCTCTTTATCCATTTGTTTGCCTTTCCCTTCATATACGCATGTATAAATGTTGCTGATTCATTCCAAATTGAAGAAACTGGTAGCAAAAATGAGTTTTAAAACAAACTATTGCTCAACCTTGTCACCATGAACAGATGTACACACATGACTCATTCATTTAAACCTAGTCCAAATCAGATTTATTTTTGCAATTTCATGTGACATTACATGTTAAAACATGTAGTTGTATAGTCCAACACACACTGTGTGAGTGTTAATGAGAGGAAGGAGGAAAAACACTCAACGCCATCCTTGTGTTGCTGGCCAAAGCCACAGCTGTCCCTCTCCATACCTCCCTCCCTCCAACTCTTTCACAGACCGTCTGTTAGTCTCAATCAATGACTGTCTGTTTACTTCTCTCTTGATTTTTGCATCCTCTTTCTTTTTTAACTGCAATTTAACACTGCCATTAGTTCTTGATTTCAACGAGACTCCAATCAAGTGATGATGTCTCAGTCATTAGTCAATCGTTCCCTGAAAACACACTGGCTGAGCTTCAAAAATTATTTTCTTCCCTCATGTTTTACCCTCCTAGTCAGTATTTTTGTTTTCCCCTCCCTTTTATTATCCGCAGCAATTTTCCTGAATGCCAAGCCACATCTGTTACATTGTTACTAAAGCATTTACTGTTTTCTGGTCTTTTTAAAATACTACACACTCATCCAGGGAAACCAACCACTTGCTGTGCCGAAAGTAAGATTATAATGACTTGATTGCTTCTCTCGATGGCAGTATGCCACGCTGGCTCCTTCCACAACAAAATTGGTTATCTGGCTTCTGACAATTTTAGTAGTTTTAAATGAAAAGGATTAAGACTCAAGCACGTCATGCACTATTGTTTACTAAAAAGCTAGGAAAGTTGGCAAAGCGGATTAAACTTTGTTCGGGTTTGGATAACTTGAGGAAGCAAATGTTTGTGTCAGGGTGTGTGGTTATAGATTGGGGGAGGGTACATAGAAGAGACATTATGAGGAATATGCAAAACCACACGTGCATCTCTTTTGTTAAAATGCTGGTCTCAACACTCATTTTTTACTTCATGTACATGAAGACTATGTAAAACAAGCCTTTACAACCAGTTGGCCTGTTTAAATTAATCTTTAGCGCATACTTGTTTTTTTTAATTTATTTACACTCAAGAGCCACAAGGCAAACCAAACGTTGGGGGAAAGGTCAATGGAGTTGAGAAGAAAATTGCATAAAATAAACGCTGTCTTTTTAAGTAAGACTCAGGTGCCAGGATAGTTGTTCCTGATTGTTCAATTGTACAACACCTGAGATAATTATTTTTGTAAAGTTTTGTTAGTAGCTACGTCACATCATGTCAAATAAAAGGTCACGGACATCACATAACGGTCACAGGGCACGCACATTTGTACGCGGGGGACACGCTACTCGACACCTTCTGGTCAAACGATGTAACGTTAGCTTGCAGAAAAAGTCACTGAATGATTTTTTAGTAAACGAAAAAAATCCCTATAATAAATCTCACTAATCAGAAAGCGACAGCACCCCTAAGAAGACATATAGTCAATCTAATCATCACCCACATTTTCCACTCTTAATACGCTTTAAATGTTTAAATCGCTCGCCTTATAAAATCTTGAACTAGTTAGTTTCATCAGTTGACCTTCTCACCAACATTTTCGAACGCGACGTACACGTGACGTCAGCGCGCGTTACGGGATAACGCGCAGGTAGATGAAGTCGAAATAGCCTACACGTAGTAATGCGCTCTTTAAAATATGGGTCAACAGCAGATTGACAAATAGGCTACTTACATTCTGCACATTCGCTCGTAATGATTTAACGTTAAGTTACGGTGGTTGCGTAGGATCACTGCCGTTAGAGCAATTATTGAATTAGCTCCTGAACTAGTGACTTTATCATTTCCTTTTTAGTAAATAAACTAATCCTCTACAATCCCAAAAGATGAATAATTTATCTTACTTTACTAAGTAAAGCTTTTACAAAGAGTCTTACCTCACAGTCGTAGAGATCCGTTAGCTGGTCAATAATCCACTCTTCCAAATTAAGTCTTTTTCTCAGTTCTTTCCGGTCGTATTTCACTGTGACCCGTCCTTGCTTGCGGGCTGGGGTCTCGGCTTCTTCGGTTGAACCGGTGGGCGTCTGGAAGTAAACGCGAGCTGGTTGGCTCGATTCTGGACTTGTTACCGCCGCCATAGTCCGCAAATATGCTGTAAATAACCGGCTGGTAACGTTAAAGAAGATCGGGTTTTCTTCCCCGTGTTTGTTGAGCAGTGTGATTTAAAAGGCCACTAATAAAGCTATTTATTCCTTCTCGCGGAACTCAATGACATTTGGCAACTACTTGATAATATTTCTAAAGTCATATGAAGTAACTTTGATTGCTTGTTTCGCTTGGTCTTGTACCAATCTATTAAGCCGCTAAACACTTAAGCTACTGGACTGCAAACCGCGTGTCTCCTTTTGCTTTAGAAAGTAATTCCACAAACGCTCAAATCACTTCAAACTCCAGCGTCTTCCTCGTGGCCTTACGTTACTGTTATCCTTTCAATAAAAATGGAAGCCGTTTGCAATGATTTAACCGTGCATTTAAAGAGAAACGGCAGCGCTCCCTTTCTCTTATTCGAAGTAATAAAAACGAAAACAAACAGTACAGTGTCCCCCTTCTTTTTGTCCTTCCTTTCCCCCTCCTCTCTTTTCCTATCTGCTTCTCTCACCCGAGTGGTGTGTGTGTGTGTGTAACCCCCTCTGAGCCACGGCTGTCCTTTCTCTCCCTCCCTCTCTGACAGCCTCTCTCTTCCTGTCTCTATTGCTGAAGTTAACCAACCCTCACTTCAGGCTAAATACAACCAGATAATCCTGTTATTTCAAGTGAGTTGCTAAAATAAGTGAGGAATAAAAACAAAAGGTTTCTTTAGTGGCATCTACATGTGACACTTTTGAACTCTGTTAAGATGTTTCTGTTTGATTGTGTCTATCAGTAAATTTTATTTTATACATCAGGAAAATAAAGTATTTTAAAGGGAATAACAACATTTGTTTTTCCTTACTCACCAGGCCTGTAACAGCAGGATCTAGCTAACTAGGCTAGCCAGACCAGAATATTTTATTTGTCTTAAAGTCACCCTGAAATAAAAACTGAAATATCTTTTTTTTTCTTTTTTTTGGAATATTGCAGTATTTATTCCAAGTGATTTATAATTATTCATCATTATTTTTTTTTTAAAAATGTGTCATCATATTATTTAGTTAATATAACTTCCCCTAACAAGAGCAGAGCCATTTCTTCTCTTCTCTGATGTCACTCACACAATATCCCAGCAATAGCAAACCAATCAATATAGTGCAACAGTGCCCGTTCACTTTTTTTGAGGGGCCATGATTTCGTAAGCATTTTTTTACATAGATTTTACATAGATTTTTTTTACATAGGCCTACATTTTAAAAAAACAAAATCTGGAAAGTGTTAAAAGCCATATAAAGGCAACCAACAATGAGGTCATAACAAGACACAAAAAGTATTTGAAAATTAGACAAAAATATAAATATAGCCTACAAGACTGTGTACTTAACGGCTTTAGTGAGAGAAAAAACTACAATCCCATGAAGCATTGCAAACAGCATAATCAAATTAAAAATGATGAAGAAATATAAAACTACACAGTTTGAGAGTTACTTGATTATAGAATTTGCAGTGCTGGGAGTGGGTGGGCCTAAGAGATCTTTTGGGTTTGCTTGTTTTCGACTCTCTGTTTGGTGGAATTGAAAGTACAGCATCGTGGATAATGTAGTTTTTCAGCACAAATTCAGCTTCAACTACGTTTAAAGCTGTGAGCTGACATCTTCAGCAAATACTATAAATTACCAGACTCATAGCTCACAGTAAAGGTTTACAAATTATCAGCCCATTCTCACCCCCAAGGCGTCAGTAGCCCATTCTCACCCCCAAGGCGTCACCTAACTGAAGCCTTGGGAAGCATTTTGACCGGGCTTCAATATCTGACGCTTTAGGCGCCCTTTAGCGTCAGTTAGATGACGCCCTAGGATCGCGTGTAACCCTACCCCCACCCCAGACCTAAACCTAACCGCGTCATCTATGTACCTGACACTTTCCTTTAGCGTCGGTTAGATGACGCCGTAGGATCGCCGTAGCATGGTCAAAGGCGACGCCTTGGGGTGAGAATGCGTTGAAATTATCGTTAAAAATCAATTTCCTTATGGAGAAAATGAATGGCGTTTTTGGTTCTGGAATCCAACTGTTGCACTCAATTCCCGATGGACAAAATCCATCCCAAGCTGTTTCACTTATATTAAAAGTGTTGGGACACCCGTCCAAATAATTGAACTCAGGTGTTCAAATCCCTGCATGGCCACAGTTGTATAAAATCAAGCAAGCTTGCAGACTGCTTCTACAAACATTTGTGAAAGAATAGGTCGCTTATCCTTTTCAGGGGCTCAGTGAATTCAAGCGTGGTGGGATTCAAGTCTATTCATGAAATTTCCTCATGACAAAATATTCCACGGTCAACTGTTTATTATAACGAAGTGGAAGCAATTGGGAGCAAACAAAGTGGTAGACCACATAAAATCACAGTGCAGTGTGCAGAAGTCACCAACTTTATGCAGATTCAAATAGCTATAGACCTCCAAATTCGTTTGCCCTTCCAATTAGCTCAAGAACACTCCGTAGAAAGCTCCATGGAATGGGTTTCCCGCCACTGGATTCTAGAGCAGAGACATATTCTCTAAAGTGACGAATCACGCACATTCTGTCTGACAAGCCCATGGACGAGTCTGGGTCTGGTGGTTGCCAGGAGAACTGTACTTGCCTGACTGCATTGTGCCAAGTGTAAAGTTTGGAGGAGGGGTTTCAGGGGTTGGGCTTGGCCCCTTAGCTCCAGTGAAAGGAACTCTTAATATTTCAACATACCAAGACATTTTAGACAATTTCATGCTCCCGACTTTGTGGTAACACTTTGGGAATGGCCCCTTCCTGTTCCAACATGACTGCGCACCAGTGCACAAAGCAAGGCTGGATGAGTGAGTTTTGTGTGGAGGAACTTGACTGGCCTGCACAGAGTCCTGATCTCAACCCGATAGAACACCTTTTGGATGAATTAGAGCGAGGAAGGCCAGGCCTTTTCGTCCAACATCAGTGCCTGACCTCACAAATGTGCTTCTAGAAGAATGGTCAAAAATGTCAATAAACACACTCCTAAACCTTGTGGAAAGCCTACCTAGAAGAGTTGATTTGAAGCTGTTATAGCTTGTGAAGGTTGGGCCAACTCCATATTAAACCCTATGGATTAAGAATAGGATGTCATTAAAAGTTCATGTGCTTGTTAAGGCAGACGTCACAAAACTTTTGTCGATATAGTGTGTCACAATAGGAAAGAAAAGATCGTCGTAACTTCCATTTCATGCCAACTTTAAAGGTAGCCTACACACAAACAATTTGCTAGGTACATCAGAAACTTTTTATACTGATTTTTATTAATGTTATAATAAACAGAACATTATCGCCTGTTGGTGTGGATGCTAGTTATCTTTATAGTCATCATACTGGTATGACCGGCCTTAAAGGTGCATTGCGCAAGTCTCTGAGTTTTGCAGAACTATGCCCCCTCTGGCGACAAGCGAAACTGCAACCAGAGGCGTGCACGCTCATGAACCACATGCATGCTTGCACGAGCTGTTCATAACCAAAGCAACATCAGCCGCACAAATCTTTTGTTACAGTCATAATGTCTTCAGAGGTAATTAAGTTGTAAATCTGCAAGTCATTTTAAATATATGAAAGGAAATGCATTTGAGTAAATTGCACACTTATGTGAGAGGGGAAAACGAGGGTAGTAGAAAACTTCGGCTTTTGTTTCCAACTATCTCCATGTTGAACTGTTTTATGTGCTTACTGTATCCACTTTTGATTGTATAACTATGGAAACACGTTCATGAGCAATATAAGTTATTACTTCGTATAGAATCCAGTTTGAGCCCTAGAGCAGACCGGAGATCTCTCAATTTGTTGAAAGCATTCCTGATGTTGACTCCCGTCTTATTCCAACGCCTGGCACTAGACAAAAGCTTATTCTCATCGTCTTAAGAGTTTGCGTTGGGGTTTGGAATGAACTACAAGCCAGTCTCTTTGAATCCATCTTGTACTTTTGTCGAAAGTTGACTAAAGTTTTGTTGCTTGAGTTGTCTTCGCTGATATGGAGAATGGCGGCGAATACACAAACCTGCCAGACATAGCCAGGTGTAGACGCGCATGACGTCACGCCCAGTCTCAAATTCCGTTCCGAAACCCTCTTATTTATTTTACTGTACAGGATTATAGGGGCAATTGCAGTGATCAGAGAAGGGCTCATTCAGCCCATCAGGCAATTGTTTAAGCATGTATGGGTTAGAAAAACAGGTATTTCTAACATGAAATGTTGCGCAATGCACCTTAAAAAAATCTTCTAGAAAAACCTGTTTATTTCGACTTGGAGTGGGTCGCCCCCTTATGGGTGCTGCCATATTAACTTCACATGACCATCCATGTTGTCAAGCTATTGACTGAGTTACTAATAATGAACCGCGAACAACATGCGACAATTTAATCTAAGAATGTCTATTATTTAATGTTTGGAATGACATGGAGAAAAACAAAAAACTTTTATATTTAGAACAATATTTAGAACTATATCATAGATATCAAAGCCATCATCCTTGGTGTGAACAGGCTTTTACTGTAATTTAGCCTATACTACGGGGCTGTTGAATGCCTGAATCTGAATGGTTGACAAACTGTGTATGTGCAATTATTTTCAGGGAAATGCACGGATAAAGTAGTTCCAGGCAGGTCTTGACCGCATCACAGTTCCATATCAATTTGCCAAATGATTTCATTTATTTCAAAGTTCCTTACAGCATACAGCAAAATAACCAAAACCCACATTGACACTGGCTAAGCAAATTATCTAAACAATAGGGTAAAAATGACAAATTATTTCCAAGTTTCTTTTGACACATGATGACATTTAATTATGTATGCAATAATAAAGATTGCAATACGGACACGCACTCACACAGAAACATTTTATCAGTGCTTCTCCAACAATTGTATCAGTAAAAAAGTTTAGCAACTTAAAACCCGCATGCCATTTCTCACTAGGGAGGTAATTACTGGAGTATAAAAAAATATTCTCAGAAAATACATAAGAACCAATGTTTGACAAATTTGAAATTGTTAATTATTTAGAAGAATTAGAATCTCGGGAACTGCACACCAAAGAGTCCTCTCAGGTAGGTCCTTTAGGGTGTCATGGAGAGGTGTGACATCTAAGACCCAATATCTAGCTACTGGGGTGCCTCAAGGCTCAGTGCTTGGACCACTCCTCTTTTCCATCTACATATCATCACTAGGATCTGTGATTCAGAAACATGGCTTTTCCTATCATTGCTAAGCTGATGACACGCAAGTCTACCTCTCATTCCAGCCTGACTATCCAACGGTAGCTGCTCGTATTGACCATGCTTCAATATTTGACGTTTTAGGCGCCCTTTAGCGTCACTTACATGACGCGATCCTACGGCGTCATCTAACTGACGCTAAAGGAAAGCGTCAGTTAGAAGACGCGGTTAGGTTTAGGTCTGGGGTGGGGGTAGGGTACACGCGATCCTAGGGCGTCATCTAACTGACGCTAAAGGGCGCCTAAAGCGTCAGATATTGAAGCATGGTCAAATTGAAGCAGGGTGAGAATGGGCTGCTGATAGACATTTCTGACTGGATAAA